CCTTGTGCTAATGGGGAGCATCTGAGAGGCAGGGGGAGGAGAAAATGGTCTAAGTAGTTCAGGAAGAGACCAGGTCCAAAGACGCTTTGCCGCCCTTGAAGGACACTCCTTTCAGCCTTTGAAAGGAAACCTGAAAACTGATTGTACAATGTAAGAATTTCGTGTCTCCAAGCTACATCACATTAAATCTATAAGGTAGATGAGTGAGGACATCCCTATTTTGCAGACAAAATCTTTAAAGGGAGGGAGGAGATTGAAGGCAATCCGTGCAGACCATCATGAGGTAAACCATAATTGACTGGATTTACACAAGACACAAGACCTAAGGGAACCCACCGTATTCAGATGACGTGTGAGAATAGAGCATCTAAAGAAGGGATAGCCAATCTGAAGCTAGGCCGCCAGATCTGGGCTGCAAAATATCTAGGGAGCTACTTGATGTTTTCTAACGGCCATCTGTATTTTTGCAGCCCAGATCCACGGTTGTTTAAATTTTAAGACCTCAACTGGCCCCTACGTTTTTTCTTTGCTCTTCCTGCCATTTATTAAACTGGTACTTCCAAATTGTACTTTCTCATTGTCTGGAAGCTGGACCCAAAGACATTGTCATTCTATTCTATTCTACTCTACTCTACTCTGCCCTGCCCTGCCCTGCCCTACCCTACCCTACCCTATTCTATCCCATGATTAAAATGAATCCTAGTTTAGGGTAACGCGTCCACTCTTTGCTTGGATCTCCTGTCTCTTCAATCCATTCTCAGGCTTTCCAATGTAGTCACGACCTTTCCATTCTGTCCCAGCTGAAGATGCCAAGTGCTTCTTTGTACAGCCACTGAAAGCCTCCTGGCTCTCAAAATTAAGGAGCAATTGATTTTTCCCATTAGCCAGCCCAGGTCTAGCTTGGGTGGTGCAGAGAAAATGAAGGCCTGCTGAATAATTCAGGAGATGAGATGACAAAGTCCTTCCCTGCTTTCCACAGGCACCACAACACAAGGGCATCACAACCACCGCGACACTCTCCACCCAACTTACAGGTAAAGAAAAGGAACCCAGCAGAAGGGCAGAATTCCTGCTTCTTTCTTGCACTGATGTCCCATCTCCCCACCCCACCCCACCCCACCCCCATGAGCCCACCGGATATACACATGGAGTCTTCATCCCCCCCATTTTTCCTTCACAGCCATCTACTGGGATAGGTGGTTGTTGTTGTTCAGTTGCTAAGTTGTGTCTTCACGACCCCATGGACCATAGTGTGCCAGACCCCCCCCTCCTCCCCCCTCCTCCACTGTCTGCTGGAGTTTGTCCAAATTCATGCTCATTGTGTTGATGACACTATCTCCTCCTCTGCCCTCCTCTTCTCCTTTTGCCTTCCATCTTTCCCAACACCAGGATCTTCTCCAAAGAGTTCTCTTTTCTCATTTGGTGGCCAAAGTATCTGAGCTTAATCTTCCTTATGGTCCAACTCTCACAGCCACACCCTACTACTGGAAAAACCATAGCTTTGACTATACGGATCTTGGTCGGCTTTTTAATATGCTTGTCAAGGTTTGGGCTGAAAAAAAGCTGAGTCATTTAGAGGGTTTTAAGCTCGGGTCTTCTCAGTTGCAGTTTAACCCAACGTTTCTCAACCTTGGTAACTTTAAAACACGGGGACTTCAATTCTTCGCTGCTTTTTCCTGTTTTTGCAGTTGCTTTTGCAGTTGGGGCCATTGTAAACGAATTGTGTTTTTTTTTTTTTTCCTTAGGTTGCAAGACTTGTGTACAGTATTGTTTGTAGTTTTGTTATGTAAAGAGTTGAGTGGACTGGTTGGCTTTGATGTGCTGGCATTTTCATTATTTTGAGTCTGTTTGTTTGTTGTGCACCTGGTTGAAAGATGCGGCCTCCTTCATCATTATTTAAATCTGGTTCTCTTTGATTCCCCGAAAAGTGGAAATGGAATCAATGCTTGGTGCTCAGTGCAAAAGAGCTTTTATGGACTTTTTCTGTGGTGAATAAATAAAAATGATTAAAAAGTAGGTTTACAGGAAGAACAGAATTATGTTATATAATTTAGAAGGGTGGAATTAACTAGGTTTGTAACTGCGGCAAAGAAGATTCTTAAAATATTTCTTTCTCTTTTTCCCTCCTTTTCTCTTCGTTCACTTCTCTCCCACTTTTCTGTCTATTCTTTTCTTTTTACTATTTTCATTTTTACTTTCTTTTTTTTTTGCAGCCTTGCACTTTGCTGACGTTTTATACACATGTTATATACCTACATAGAAAACTTATATTCCAGTTTTACGCAGTCCTCAATGTTCCGGGAGCACCTGCTTTTAGGCACCTAGGTTCCCAAATTCAATCGGAGGCTCTCCAAATACATTGATCGGAGGCCAGGATAATGGCAGTGCATCAATCCACTTTCTGCAATTTCCATCTCTTTCTTGCAAGATATATTATTAAGCTCATCTTTGGCTCCTACTGCATATCAATACCCCAGGGCTTGGCACTGACTGGCATTACAGGGATGTATTAGAGGCACGGAGTTCCTTTTTGTCAAGAGTTGCCCTCACAGGCAACCACCTCACTGGGACTTTGTAAAAGCTGATCAAAAGCCAAACAAATATTTCTCAGAAGACATTACGAGGCTTCTGAAGGCCGTCTGACTAATTTTTTCTCTCTGGTGATTTGACGCTGGCAACCATTTGCTTTCAATTATGCCCCTCTCTTGATCAGTCTGGACCAAACAGAGAGGCACAAGAAATGACAAGTCAAAGAGTTGAAGTCCATATATCTTTAAGGTGCCTAGGTTGAGAAACATGGCTCTAAGCGTTATTCCAACATTTGAGGGGATGCCACAAGGAAGAGGGGGTCAATCTATTCTCCAAAGCACCTGCAGGCAGGACAAGAAGCAAAGGATGGGAGCTAATCAAGGAGAGAAGCAACCTGGAACTAAGGAGAAATTTCCTGACAGTGAGAACACTTAACTAGTGAAATGGCTTGTCTTCAGACGTTGTGGGTGCTCCATCACTGGAGGTTTTTAAGAAGAGACTGGACAGCCATTTGTCTGAAATGGTATAGGGTTTCCTGCCTGAGCAGGGGGTTGGACTAGATGACCTCCAAGTTCTCTTCCAACTCTGTTATTGTATTAAGGCTGGCAGAAAGTTTTCAGCCCAGCGGCGGAGTCTCTCTTTGCCTAAAGAAGCTCTTTGGGGTTCATTTAGGGACATTTACATAAATTATATAAATGAAGGCAAGAAAGATTATTGTCTAAGATTGTGGAGAGAGCTATTTGCTCATCAGCAGCTACGTTCACACAGGACCCTAAGTTGCAGGGCGGTTGGTTATTTCATGTTTTGCAACTTCAGGTAACTGAGTTAATTTGGAAAAACCATGCTTCATTGAACTGAGACTAGAACGTTGTACGAAAAATGGCCTGGGCAGAACAGCCTCCAAATAAATTGGATTGCTAGTGTTTTCATGCCAAGGAAACATCAAACTGGGGAAAGTATAGATTAAGATAAAGAATAGAATAGAATAGAATAGAATAGAATAGAATAGAATAGAATAGAAGCTGGAAGGGACCTTGGAGGTCTTCTAGTCCAGCCCCCTGCTGAAGCAGGAGAAACTATACTGTCTCAGACAGGTGATTGTCTATTCTCTTCTTAATAATCTCCAGTGATGGAGTACCCATGATTTCTGGGGGCAAGCTGTTCCACTGGTTGATTGTCCTCACTGTCAGGACGTTTGTCCTTAATTCCAGGTTGCTTCTCTCCTTGATCAGTTTCCAACCATTGTTTCTCGTCCTTCCCTCTGGTGCTCTGGTGAACAACCTGACCCCCTCTGCCTTGTGGCAGCCCCTAAGATACTGGAAGACTGCTATCATGTCTCCCCTATTTCTTCTTTTCTTTAGACTGGCCAAACCCAAGTCCCGCAGCCGTTCTTCGTATGTTTTAGTCTCCAGGCCTTTGATCATCTTAGTTGCTCTTCTTTGAATTTTTTCCAAACTCTCAACATCTTTTTTGTGATATGGTGACCAAAACTGGCTGCAGTATTCCCGGTGTGGTCTTACTAGAGATTTATAAAGCAGTAATAATAATTTGCGTGATCCTGATGCTATGCAACCCAGGATTGTATTAGCTTTTTTGGCTGCTGCTGAACACGGCTGGCTCATAGTCAAGGGATCCTCCACTAGGACTCCAAGGTCCCTCTCACAGCTGCTGTTTTTAGAAGGCCATCTTCTCTCCTGAGAAAGAGCCATTGGTTTTCTGGGTACAGGATGGGTGAACACCCCATACTTTGAACCCAGATTATCTGCCTCATTAAAGCATTTCAGCGAGGGAGTGTGGGATCCCACACTTCCCTGCAATTGCCCTCTCTCTCTTTTATTTTTTTTGTTAACTTCTGTGCTTTATTGTAATTTCTTTGCTTGATTAAGGTGGACCGCCCAGAATTGTTGAGAATCAGGCGGCACACAAGTTTAATAAGGATTGTACTGTAAATAATTATTACCTTTTCCATAACACACGACTGTGTGCATTCCCACCAACCTTATGGTGACTGAAGGTTGAATCTGATTCATCGAAGGGCTAAGACAATGGCCCGTTTGCCACAAGATGCTGAATCATAAGCAGCCCAACCTATTTTAGCCGGGTCCCGCATGTCTTGGGGAATCTAGCTGAGTTAAGACCCTTTTTTTATGCACTGGCAACCCAATTTATCCAATTTATTTATCTTTATTGCCATGTTTCTTCTCTTTCAGGCAGAATTGCTGCCAAAGGCACAGGAGAATGAGTGGCTAAAAAGTGGGGGCAGCCCATTGCCCCAGCCTCTCGAGACTAGTCTTGCTAACACACACACACACACACACACACACACACAGAGGCTGCTGTTCAGTCTCCAAGGCATGTGGCCCAGAACACCGGCAGGGGAAGAGTTAACGCTCCAGCCTCACCGCGTGAAGCTGGAGCTATTAATACCCTGCCTGCTTTATCTGTCAGAAGGAGCTGGTTGCTTGGTCAACCAGACAGCCCTGTGAATCTCGGTGTATTCAGCAAGTCCTGAAGTTTTGATTCCCGGGGCAAAAGAGACTGTGAGCATGGAACACAGGCTCAGCTCTCCAGGGTGAATCCTTCCATTCCTTTCGTTTCTGTATGCATGCATGCATAGGCATACACATATTCTCTCTCTGGCTCTCTCTCTCTCTCTCACACACACACACACTCATAGATGTGCCACCTTCTGTCAAGGCATCACTTCTTCTCCTCCTGACCAAGAGCTCCAGAGTGTAGAGCTGGCTGTCTCCACCTGAAAGGTTAGTGACTTCCCTTCCCAAAGGGAAAAGAAAACTTTCCATAAGGCAAGTTGTCCTGGGATGTCTGGAAGATCACAAAGCAAAGGCTGGCTTGGCCACCTGGGTTGATTGGGACCTTCCCCATCATCTCCAGAAGAACCAATGTCAGCGAAGACAAACATCTCCAGCAGGTGGTAACCCACTTTTGGGGGACATCGGCGGCACAGACATGGGAGAAATCTTGGACGACTTGATTTCTAATTCATCAAGCTTTCTGGCTTTCTGGACTTCTTCTCTGATTCTGGAATAAGATCTCTTTGGAAGTCTGTGCCTGCAAGATTTAGCCAGAGGGGAAGACACAGAAAAGAAGTAGAAGCTTCTCTGTTCTGCTCCAAAGAAGAAGACAACATCACAGTTTCTCCAAGAAAGAGGACCGGTCAAGAAATTTGCTTGATACCAGCGAAGCAACTGGCTCTAATGTTCCTGATTTCCATCTCCAGCAGAGCAACCCCCTAACAGGGGGACCTTTTGCACCCTGGAAGAAGCCGCGGGAAACTGGAGAAGCAAAGGTGCAAAATGCTCGCCTGTGGAAGCTGGGCCAGAACAGCTGAGCACGGTGGGCCCTTCCCATTCCTTGCAAAATGCTGATGCCTGTCAGGGGTGGCCTGGCCAGGGTCGCCCCTTGCCTTGCCTCTTTGTGGAGATGGATTCCTTCTGCTTCACCTGCTTTCAGAAAGAGGAGCTGCAGCCTTTACAATCCAACAGGTACGTCCCCAAATATCTCTCCGCGCACTTGTGCGAAAGTGTTGTAGGCAAATCTGCAAGCGCAGAGGCGTGTTCTGAGGTCCAAGTGCAAGGTCAGAAATAAGGAATCCCTAACCTTGGTCCACAGTGCAGAGAGGGTGGTTATCGCAGTGATTTGAGGGATAACATATAGGTTGTCTGTACACGCTCAGGGTCACCGTTGCCCTTGTTTCGCCCATTCTAGAAATCCAGGCTGATGTTGCAAGCAGGCCCTGTGGCCCATTTCACCGAGGCAAACGGTAGGAGATAAAAACCTCCCTTAGACCAGATCAGACTATTATTGCACCCTATCCAGAAGTGGCTGCTCTGAAGGGCAGGCTGTGAACCCACCTCAAGCCAACCGGCCACCTTTTAGCTTAGCAATCTGGGTTGGTCTACGTTGCAGGTGGTGAACGCAAAACCTGAAGTTAGCTGGATAAACCCTGGTTCAGAAGCCTGGTGAAAGTTCTCAGAGGAGTAGAGCTACCGTGATCTTCTGCAGAGATTGAACCTTTAGACACAGCACATTTCCAATCAGGGACCATGGACGAGGTCACTTCTTTTACATCCCTCCCCTTACGACTTTGTGACTCTTCTCAATTATCAACAGACCAGGTTGTCCCATTCCTCCACCGATGCATGAGTTTCCTCTTTTGTTCCTAGAGCAGAAATGGTTCGGCATGATGCTGCTTAGGTATTTATCTGTTTGTACCCTGCCTTTATTATTTTTAACAAATAACTCAAGGAGGCAAGCCTATCCAACAGACCCCCTTCCTCCTGTTTTCCCAAAGAAAGATTTTTTTTTTTTTTTTGTCATTGTGGCTGTCTCCGGCTAATTCGATGCTCCCCAGTCAGGCTAAGTAGTTTGACTTGACCGTAGTTTGTTAAATAGGCCCAGATGAAGATCTGCTCAAATCAATCCGTCTGAAAGGAAATCAGCCCTCTGAAAGGACAGACACTGAAGCTGAAGCTCAAATATGTTGGCCACCAAATGAGAAGAGATAAGACTCCTTGGAAAAGACCCTGATGTTGGGAAAGAGGGAAGGCAAAGGAAGAAGGAGAGAGCAGGGGAGGAGATGCTTAGATAGTGTCCATTGACACAAGAAACATGGGTTTAGGCAACTTTGGGAGATAGTGGAGGACAGAGGCCCTGGTGTGCTATGGCCCGTGGGGTCAGAATAACAGAATAACAGAGTTGGAAGGGACTTTGGAGGTCTTCTAGTCCAACCCCCCACTCAAGCAGGAGACCCTATACCAGTGATGGCGAACCTTTTAGAGACCGAGTGCCCAAACTGCAACCCAAAACCCACTTATGTATCATCGGGTGCCAGTGGGCATGTCCCATTGGGTGGACGTGTCCCATTGGGTGGGCGTGTCCCATTGGGTGGGCGTGTCCCATTGGATGGGCATGTCTCATTGGGTGGGCGTGGCTGTGGTGGTAAGGCAGATTGGGCAGGACTAAAAAGTTCAATCAATCAATTCCAACTTTGCGAGATCTTTTCTTTTCCCGTGAGAAGTTGAAATTGATTGATTGAACCATTTTTTATTTTTTTTTGCACACAGCGGCAGAGGCCTAAAGTGAAAAGGTTTTATAAAACCCAGCTGAAGGCCTAGGACTGGGGCAATGGTGCACATGCCCACAGAGAGGGCTCTGCACGTGTGCCATAGGTTTGCCACCACGGCCCTATACCCTTTCAGACAGATGGTTTGAAACCACAGAGCTGGACCCAACTTAGCGAATGAGCAACAAGAATACGCTATGTAGATGTGTACTTTGCTCTTCGCGATATGCTTTCTGCATATGCAACAGAATGATTTGTTACTTTCCGGCTATGCATATTGTGTGAACCCAGCTTAAGAAAGACACTCGGTTTTCCTTTAACATGGGACTGTACATCAGGATAGCAGCAAAACAGGTGCCCCATTGCTGACCCAGCCTTCCCCTTAGATCAAATTCTCAATGACCAGATGGTCATGTGGAGCTGATCCTGCTTGATACAGACTTGATCTCTTGGCCAGAAGGTGTTATAAATCTTGAAAAATGTTCAACCAAAACCTGCTCAAAATTGTAGATGTTTGGTGCTGAGTTGTCCTCCAAAGCCCAGCTTATATTTACTCACTAGATTGATCTCCTGTCTTTTTTTCGCCTTGCCCACACCTCTGCTTAAAATAGCAGTGTGAACCAAGCTTGGAATTAATTTCGGATAGGTGTCAATTTTTCAGAAATCCTCCTCTCTCTTGGTTTAGGAAGGTGGATGAGTTGGAAACGGCTTGAGAGACAGAATGAGGACAGGAGGAGAGATTAGAAATACTTGATGACGGGAAGAGAGAAGGCGGATTTTCAGACACGAGGATTCTTATCATTCTAAACCAGTGGTTCTCAACCTTTTTAATGCCGCGACCCCCAACCAGTCATAAGTCGAGGACTATTCAACCGGTCGTAAGTCAAGGACTACTCAACTGGTGCAGCACCGTTTGCAGAATGGGACTTTTGGCGGGCTCATCAGGGCAGAGACAGCCTGGACAATTCCTATTGGCTTTTGAAAGCCAATATAATTAGACTCTATTCAAGAGAGTCTATTCTATTGGCTTTCAAAAGCCAATAGAATAAAAGGGAGTAGCACAGCTAAGGAAAAGGGGGAAAAAATGGCGGACTGCGTTGTTTGGCGTCCCCCGTGAAATGGTCGTTCGACCCCAAATGGGGTCCTGACCCACAGGTTGAGAACAGCTGTTCTAAATGGTGATCCAGTTTCTGCAAGGAGTTGCGACGCCGAGTACAAATTATATTCGGAATCTCCCAAATACTGCACTGCATATGGCCAGCCACCCATTCGCTTTCCCAAAGGTGTTTTTTTTTTTTCCAAAAGGCAGCTGGAATTTCTTGATTTTCATTCCCCTTGAAAATGTTTCCCTTCTCATCCAAGAAGCTTCTTCCAATTGCCTTTTGGGACAACCATGACCTAGATCAGGGATAGGCAACCTTGGCTCTTTGATGACTCTTGGACTTCAGCTCCCAGAATTCCTGAGCCAGCCACGCTGAGGGGAAAGGGAGAGGTTTCCAAGTTGAGCCATGCCGGCTCAGGAATTCTGGGAGTTGAAGTCCACCAGTCATAAAAAAGCCAAGGTTGCCTACCCCTGACCTAGATGATTGAGAATCTCCATAGACATTCACCCATTCCCTGGAAAGCTCTGCTGATTTAGTGGGTTCTTGGTGGGTCCTAAAGACAATAACGGAAGGGCTGTCACAGGGAAGAAGGCATTGATCTATTCTCCATAGCATCTGAAGGCCAAAGAAGAAGCAATGGATGGAAGCTCATCAGAAGGAGATTTCCTGGCAGTGGGACTCACAACTCAATGGAACAAGTTGCCTCCCAGAGTTGTGGGTGTTTCATCACTGGAAGCTTTCAAGAAAAGTTTGGTCAACTATTCGTCCAAGATGGTATATGGACTTCTGTCTTGGCCAGGGGTTGGACTGGAAGACTTCCAAGGCTTCCATCCAGCCCTGTGATTCTCTGATTCTTTGACTTGGTTGGGAATAAATGTGGGGGTGGAGGCAGGAGTTAAAACCTATATAGGTAGTCCTCATCTTACAGCCACAATTGAGCCTCAAACTTCCACGAGACAGAAGTTAAGTGAGTTTTGCCCCATTTTACGAAGTTTCTTGCCACCGTTGTTAAGTGAAGCACTGCAGTTGTTAAGTTAGTAACACGGTTGTTAAGTGAATCTGGCTTCCCCCATTGACTTTGCTTGTCAGAAGGTCGCAAAAGCGGATCACGTGACCCCCCCAGGACATAGCCACCGTCATAAATATGAATATAATAATAATAATAAAGTTGGAAGGGACCTTGGAAGTCATCTAGTCCAACCCCCTGCTCAGGCAGGAAACCCCATACCATTTCAGACAGATGGCTGTCCAGTCCCTTCTTGAAAACTTCCAGTGTTGGAGCATTCACCGCTTCTGGAGGCAGGTTGTTCCACTGGTTAATTGTTCTCACTGTCAGGAAATTAGCTGCCAATTTTGATCACGTGACCCTGGGAATGCTGCGACGGTCGTAAATGTGAAAAACGGTCCTAAGTCACTTTTTCCCATGCCGTTGTAACATTGAACGGTCACTAAAGGGACTGTCGTAAGTCGAGAACGACCGGCACCTCTCAGGCCCACCAGCCTTGCAAGACAGTTGTGGGAAACAAATAGGAAAGACCCCTCCCCCTTTGTAACACTGTCTTCAATTCTTGGGCAAAAAGTGCCCAACATTGTGATAATGAAAGAAATGCATAAAAATGATCTGAGCAACATTTGGGAATTCTACCCCTTTCTAGCCTTCCGTATGACACACATTAGTGCTGGAGCAATGGCCGGCTTTAATTGAGCAGGTTGAATTACAGGAATTTATTTCTCGTGGGGCCATCTGCTTGAACAACTGTGTTAGAAGGCTGCAGAGAGGGACATGGCTTGATTGAAGCCAGGAAGGAGAAAGACGGGGGGGGGGGGGGAAGAGAACCAGCAAGGGGGCTTCGGAGTGGGAGCAGACAGATCCCCCCCCCGTTTCATGTTCAAGCTCAATCGTCAAATCTCCTTTGGTTTGGAACCGTCGTGTTTCCTCTTCCCAACTTACCTTACAACTGGGTTGGGCAACTATGCCAACTTGACGACCTGCGGACTTCAACTCCCAGAATTCCTGAGCCTCTAGAATTCTGGGAGTCCACAGGCCCTAAAGTTGTCACAGTTGCTCAACCCTGCCCTGCAGGGTTGTTGTGGCAGGGATGGAAATGAAAAGATGCCCACCTAAACTGCCTTGAATGCTTGGAGGGAAGGCAGTGCTGTTTGTTTATTTTTTGTCATATTTATTTACAGCCCACCTTTATTGTTTTTGCAAACAACTCAAGGCTTCCTTCTCTTCCTATTTTCCCCACAATGACAACCCTGCGAGGTGGGCTAAGAGGGAGTGATTGACCCATGGTCGCCCAACCAGCTTTGTGCC